CGACTCTGTGAACCTGTTCTGCAGCAGCAACTGTCTTACCTTGCGTTAAACTGCAGACCCCTGTGTGACTCTCCTGGCCTCYGTCCTCAGAAAACCAAGCTGACTCAGATGTGCACCATGTGCCGCACCGCCCACCCTCTGGCTGAGATGGTGGACAACAGAAACAGTGACGACTCTGTGAACCTGTTCTGCAGCAGCAACTGTGTGATGGCCTTCAAGGTCCACTCTGTCAGCTCCTCAGGTGACCACCTTCACGTCTGCTTGGACCACGAGGTTCTCCTCTTCTTCCTGTAACTGTAAACGTTTGTGTTGTCAGGAACTCGAGTAAACTGTGACTACTGTAGTAAAAACACTGTACCTTCATACCACCTGGCCATGTCGGACACCTCCATCAGGAACTTCTGCTCTCTGCCGTGCGTCATGACCTTTCAGGTGAAAAACAGTTTGTAGATTTGTGTTTATTTTTGATGTTTGTGCTCCTAAACCTGCTGCTTCCTGTTCCCAGGAGAAGTTTAAGAAGAACCAGACGCAGCTGAGCGTTTTCACCAAACAGACGGTGGGACCGTCCCAACCCGCCGCCGCCACCGTCACGCCCGTCCCGACGCCGCAGCAGGAGGTCAAAGAGCCRTCCAAGCTGAGCTGCTTCCAGTGCAGCCGCATCATCACCAGCAAACCTGAGCTCATCCAGATCAAGGTGAGGAGCGGCCGGCTGACTGGTGTGCTCTGAGGGAGGATGGTGATGTTTGAGCTCTGTGTCTGCAGGATAAGATGGTGTTTCTCTGCACCCCGGACTGCTCCATGGAGTACAAGAAGAACAACTTCATGACGAGTCTGTGTGAGTACTGCAAGATTGAGAAGACCACCAGGGAGGCCAAACGAATCGACAACAAGGACTGCTACTTCTGCAGCGACGGTACTGAGGCTTTTCTTCATTTTCTGTTTGAACCTGGGTTATTATAGTTAACTAAAACTAATTAAATAAGGAAAACTGAAATTGAAAAAAACATTTTAATTAACTAAAATAAATAAAAACTAATAGAATGAAAAAACGATAACTAAAACTGTATAATCTTTTTGCAAAACTAAAACTAACTGAAAGTATAGATAGAAAATCCTTAGTTTTAATGTTTGTCAGTTTATTTTGAGCCATGTGGAGCTTTTTATTTTTTATTTTTCAAATTGAGTGGTTTCAGCTGTGGTCTGCAACACTTGTTTACAGTCTGCTGCTCAGCATCACCTGCTAAATGATGACAGCAAAAGTTGGGAGAAAAGACAACGTCCACTTTGTGATTTCTTTGAATGTGACAGAAAAATCAAATCAAGTGTTTTGTAGAGGAAACAGGTGATAAAACAGGTGGAATACTTAACTGCATGAATCAAACTCACACAAGATGCTAACTGTGACTATCTGACACGTTAGCTTCTCTCAGTAGCTCCATGAAAAACAAACAGCAGCAGGTTGGAGACAAATATTGTCATCGTCTTAAAATAATCATCAAGTTTTTAGTTGGTAAAATTGAGTTACACAATTATTTTTAGGAAGTTGTTGCTATAATGGACTGATTTAACAGAGTTCCTGCAGATCCTTAAAAAGTCTTTAAAGTCATTGAATTCATCAATCCAAAAATAAGGCCTTAATTAGCCTTAAAA